TGAGTCGTGTTCCCGCTCCTGCCACTAGGAAGGTGGTATGATTGACAGCCCAACTCAGGAGCAAAGCAGAATCCCGTTTGCAAATTTCCCTAAAGGACAGAAGTGTGGTTCCGTTACAGAAAGCTAGTTTTTTAAAGCTTTTCATTTTTTAAATTTTGTCGTTGACCATATTATTCCCCATTTTTCCCCCTTTTGCCTGCCTGCACTCATTCCCCACCCTCCCTTCCCACCGTTGTCTGTGTCTATGAATTATGCATATGTGTTCTTTGGCTAATCCCTTCACCGTCTCTCATAAACAAAAGTTTTTTAAAAAACTTTTACTTATTTTTAGCAGATGGTGAATCCAGAAATTTAAGCAATTAGATACAAAATCGGGAGACATATGGAAATAATGGTAAAAAGCAAACACTTTTCCTCTAATGCACCTTCTAAACTGTAGAATAATGAATGAAGGAAAATGAGGGAATATGTCCTTAACCATAGTATTTTACCTAAAGAAGTACTATTAAAATGTTTACATGCATCCTTCCCTTCCCAAGACTTAATGTTCCAAATGAACCAAAAAGTGATGCATCTGTTCTTCTGTTCCAGGCTCCCCACTAATCACTGTTTTAGAATCATTGTTTTTAAGACTGCTTAGAGTTGCTGCAATATAAACACTGCATCATAAAAGTAGTGATCATCTGAGCAATGTCCCCTCTGGAGCCCTGCTATTCCCCATCCAGACCTCTTGAAGCTCATTAAGTGCAAACTAGATTGGGCACGGTATCTTCCATACTACACAACACAGACTTTCTTACTTTGGAAAAAAAATCCTATGCAAATAGCTCAAGAAGCCAGAGCTTTTCCCTGAGATTAAAAACTACCATATTTTCATTAAAGACTGTAGGTACATTGCCCAACGTCTGTGTTTAGTATATGCTGATCAACAAATAGAAAAGGAAGTCAGGAAAGGTCAAAATAAACTTTTCTTTTCTCCTGATCTCAAAGAATAATCTGAAAACCCAAGTTCGTGAGAGTAAAGCAAAGCAATGATGTGTGTGGCTTCAACTTCTCACTGTTACCGATTTGTAGAAGTCAGGCCAAAAGGTGCAGATGTATTACATCTAGCTGGGAAAGAGTGTAATGACAGATGTGGCCCTTTTCAGTATTTACAATCCAAAGCTTTTTAGGTTAACAATTAATATTTTTTAATTTCTAGATAAATGGTAAAGTAGTTGTTTACCTAGTCTTAAGATGTTTTTCAAAGTAGGGTGATGAGAACTGAGTGCAGGATGAGAGGGTATTTAGGGCAAAAGGAGTTGGAGGAGTCCTTAGGACTTAGGACTTGAAGGAGATGAGGGAGTTGGCCATGTGTCTGGAAGGGAATCCCAGACAGAGGGAACAGTCAGTACAAATGCCCTGAGGTGGGGGAATAACTGGCATGTTGGAGGAACAGAGAAGATCACATAATAGCTTGAGCAGAGAAAGGGGTATAAAGTAGGAAATAAAATTAGAGAGACAGCAGATTTTGCAAATGAATGCATTAATACATTTTTTGAGAATTTAGATCATATCCATATAGTATATTATGCTTCATCTTATACCTGATAATGTCTCCTTATTATCCTCCTGATAATCAATTTCCTACTAAAAGTAATTTCATATTCTGTGTGACCAGTATAATTGTATGATTCCATTCAATTTAACATTCTCTATGTCTAAATTCCAGTGTGTGGCTGATAATGAAAGTGATTTAAAAAATAAAGCAAGCATTCAATTATTTAGTCAATTTGAACTACATTATGGAAAAAAATGCTTTGTGCTCAATCATGGGTAAGATAACATTGCTTTAAAATATTTATGTTGTCAAAATAAGACACATTATTTATAAATCTAAGACATTTCTCCAAGAAGTGAATATTTAAGTATGACAATGCCATAGACATTTTTTAGAATATCATCACATTATACTAGCAAGAAATCTTTTAAAAATATGAACCACATCTTTTAGAATAAATATAGGATTTGATAAATGCCACAATAGATGTGCTTTCCAAAGGAACAAGGTTCCCACACTGTTACCTAAGCATGCCTCTCTAGGGCAGCGATTTTCAACCCTTTGCATCTCATGCACACATAAGCTAATTAGTAGTATTCTGCAGCACACACAAAATATATTTTTGCCTATTGACAAAAAATAGGTATATTTTGATTCAGTCACACCAGACAACTCTTGTGTTGGGTGTTGTCATATTTTTATCTGACGATCTAAAAGAAAAGAAGTCAGCGCCCTGACTAAAGAGTCAGGTATTGCATGTTTTAGAAATTCTTGTGGAACACCATCTGAAAATTGCTGCTCCAAGGTGTCAGGATGACACTACTGAAATAGGCACTGTTATTGTAAGACTGAAAAAAAATGAAGATGTGCATGGTGATATCTGTGGTATGGAAACCAAAATAACTCTCTACAATTAGAAACAACTGATTTGGTGTGCTTACAGTGAAAAGCAAGTTAGCCCTGAGGTTGTACAAAGCACCATTACATTGGGAAGGCCATATAATGCTTACATAAGTGGTAATATAAGTATAGTTGAAACAAGAGGTGATCATATCAACTACTCAACAAAATTTTTTTGAATGTCTCTAGCAGCTGAAGATATAATAATGAGTAAAATAGTCATGGAAATTATAGCGTAGTGAGATAAGACAAACACTTTACAAATCATAATGCAAACACACAAATAAATTGTTTAATTGCAATTGTCCTAAGTCTCCACTTCAAAGAAAGCTCCACATGCTCAGAACTTTGAAGTGGTCACACATCATGACTCCAGCATGGTGAACAACACCAAGCATCTCGTAAGCACTCACTGTTTATTTGTTGACTCGATGAGTTATGTGAAAGAGAAGTATGTGATGACAACAAAAGAGTATAAAGTAGAAGTTCTAACCAAATCTAGGGCCTCAGTTGTAATGGTGAAGCTGAAATCTGGAAAATAAAGAGGAAAAAAGAGAGGAAGGAAGGGTAGGGGGAAATAGGGATGGGAGAATTTCTTTAGAGAGAAAAATTTATGGCAGTCAGCCCTGGGGAGAGAAATTTGGTGCTTCCTAGGGAATTAAAAATAGCCCAGGATGGGGAAAGGGTTAGGGACAGGAGAAGGTAATTGAGAGACACATAATCAAAGGCCAGATAACAGACAGCCTTGGAAACTTTCATGGAGGAATTGAAACTTTACCCTAACAGCAACAGAAAAATCACTGAAGGATTTTAAATGGAGGCATGAATACTCAGATTTATGTTTTAAGTGACCATAATGACAATATGAAGTAATGAATTATGGGATTCTATAGTTCTTTTAACACTGAATTTAGCATTAAAAAATTTGAACATAAGTTCTTGAATTTGACTTGTATATAAAGAAAAACTTCTGATGGGAATAACTTTAAGAATTAGGAGTACATAGTCTATAGAAGACATGAACTTTGATTCATTGGAGATTGTGGTAGGCTTCATATCATACTTGCATACTTCTGATGTTTTGATCCAAAACATTAATAAATACCCCATCAAGTTAAAATTGATACCATCAGTAGTCCTGAACTCTTTTAGAGAAACTGGGTATTGTTTCAATAATTGAATTGCCTTCCCCTTGGACTTCCATTCAGTCTAATTATTATTTGTTTACTGGTCTTGCATGAGGTGGCATTTCTCTTAGCAAAAGAAATTGGAAGCAGGTATAAGTTAAGACATAAACATTTCTCTTTCTTCCTTTCAGTGTTATACTTTAAAACAATCTATGCATCTGTATTAGTCACGGTTCTCCAGAGAATTAGAGCCAACAAATTGTGTACAAAGAGATTTATTTTAGTGAATCAGCTCACAGAATTGAGAAGGGTTTGTAAGTCGAAAACCTGTAAGGTAGACCAGCAGGTTGAAGACCCAAAGAAAAGCTGCAGCTCCAGTCCAGGCAGACCGCTGACAGAATTCCTTCTTGCTTTGGGAGGGGTTAGTCTTTGTTCTATCAAGTCCTTGAACTAGTTAGATGAGATCTATCCCCATTATGTAGGGTAATCTGCTTTACTTAAAATCCACCAATTTAAATGTTAATCTCATTCAAAAAAAAAAAAAACACCCTTATAGAAACATCCAGAATAATGTTTGACCAAATATCTAGACACTGTAGTGAGGCTGACATATAAAACTAACCATTATAGTAGCTAACTCTTTTTAATCTTTTTCTTAAAATGAAATAGCTAAAAATCTAGCCTATGTGAAGCTTGGATTTTTGTTTTGATAATATGCCCTTTTATAGCAAGGCGTCTGTTAAATATAAAACCATGATTAAGTGTGTGTCTAAGTAGGTAGTTATGATAACATATAACCAATTAATTTTTGTTACTATATATAAGTACAGCATTTTAACACATACCTCAGGAGTAATATTTCCTGTGTCCACATCACTAATCAATTATTTTCTCTACCTAATAAAAAATTAATGTAGAGAAAATTAGAATACAACTATGATTTTTAAGGATAGCTTTACTGAAAATTTCAGAATCTAGATGTAACTTCAACTATGGATATATCTGTGTTCCTTAATTTATTAATCTATTTTAGAAATTCCACTTTTTATCATTTACATTTTTAATTGACATTTAAATTCTAATGTTAGTTCTTCAAATGATTTCACAAGAGTGTCAAAACAAATATCTAAATAAATAAGATGTCTAGGCATTAAATTTCAGTTCATTGTAATACTTATGATAAAAAATTACTAGAATAAAAATAATGCCAAAATGTCTATGGCAATTAGATTTTTATGTTAGTATTTTGGTTCTATACTTTTATGAATGTGGGTTTTTTAATATGGTTTCCTTCTTGTTTACCCATTTATAATAAATAGAAAATATTCATTTTGAGACTTGAGGTTTTTAAGATGTTCTTGAATCTTACTGATAAGTCCTTTTTTGCATGAATTTTTGGGTTTTTTTTCACAATTTAAACTTCCTCTCTTTAGGTTTGGATGTGTGGAGGAGAAATGTTCGATGTTCCATGTTCTAGAGTTGGCCATATCTACAGGAAGTACGTCCCTTATAAAGTTCCATCCGGGACCAGCCTGGCAAGAGTGAGTAACTGGGGATCTGGGCAAACTTGGGGCTGGATAAGGCTTTTTGCAGGCAGAGGAAGGAGCTTCACATGTGATATAATTTAAGACACAGTCTGACAGAAACACCTCACTGAAATAAAACTTCCACCACTTGTCATTCCATTCCTAAGCTTTAGCGTATCGAGTTTCTGTGTTTCTCAGCATTTTATTGCCATTCCTTAAGGATATATTAGCTATTATGCTAATTCTTGTTGCTAATCGTTTCAAAGCACTTTCATATACAGTTTATTTAATCTTCACGATTACTTTCCGAGATTGGTATTCTTATCTTTATGTTGTAGATGAGAAAACTGAATCTTAGCGAAGTAGTTTGTTCCACTCTAGTGAAGGATAAATAGCAGAGGAGGAGTTTGAGCTCAGGCCTTTGGAATGAAGGTCCAGTACTTGCCTCCTCCCACTGGAGCAGAACAGGAGACTTCATAAGTCAGGGGGAGAGAGGGGTAATAGGAAATGGGGAAGGGTGAATGCCTGACTCTACCTTCTTCTCACTTGTGACTAGGACCAGCTCCACCTAAAGTTTTACCCCAGCCTCAAACCTCCAAAACTGGCCAGGTCCAACTTTCTTTTTCAGGTATTGTTTTGAAAAATCCTTTGTCTTAGATCAAAGGCAAGGATGATTTTTCTCTCCAGCCTTTCAGAAGGTTTTCATACATGTCTGGGAGGACACAGTCACAGGCCTTCTGAAAACAATCCTGACCACTTCTGTGGTCCATGTTACTTTCTTCATAGCTGCATTAGTTTTATTCACCATAGTAGCACCTGCTACTGCTCAGATGCCAAATCTACTAAAGGGGTATTTCTCCACACCCAGTTTGCACAATGCTGCCCTAGGAATCAAATCCAGATTTACTCATTTTGATTCCTTTACTAGTTAGGCTGCAGTATATAAATACCTGAGTCTTTTTTATAAAGCTCAATAAGCTCTCATAGCAAGCTTTTAAAATACATATACTAGTTCATCAGGATTCATTAGAATATCAACCACACAAAGGCAGAGCTTTTTCACTGTTTTTTCCTACAGCAGTCCCCCCCTTATCCATGGTTTCACTTTCCAATGTTTCAGTTACTCATGATCAACCATAGTTGGAAAATATTAAATGGAAAATTCCAGAAACAAACAATTTATAAGTTCTAAATTGCTCATCGCCATAAGTAGAGTGATGAAATCTTGTGCAGTCCATTTTATCTACACTGTATATGCTAACCTACCCTCACACTCACCCAACCCCACCCAACACCCCACCCTGGGTTACTCGCTTGGTAGCTGCCTTCGTTACCAGGTCTATGTTACAGCACCACAGTGCCTGTGTTCAAGTAGCCATCAGTTTACTCAACAATGGCACCAAACTGCAATTTGGGTGTGCCAAAGAAGAGCCATAAAGTATATGTACATATAGGGAAAAACATAATATACATAGGGTTTTGTACCATCCATGATTCTGGACATCCCCCACGAATAAAGGAGACTATTGTACTGTGCTCCCAGCACATAGCGCAAGGCTTGGTAGACACTCAACAAATATTTGTTGACAGAATTTACTAATCAGGAAAACTACAACTAGAAACACTTATTAAAACTTAAACATTTTAATTAAGTATAATAAAATTGACATTTATAGTGAGTGTTTTGGGGGAAGTAGGGTTTTTCCTTACTCCCATTCTGAGATTTCTTACCAAAAGTGTCTATTTTTCTTTAGCCACGCCCATAATCTCTTTCGCAGCGGTTTGAGTTAACAGTGATGAAGTCATAGTGCATACTCCTTGAAGGGAAAAAGTCATATTATTCTTCCCCCCTTAACATATTAATCAGACGTTAACAATGTACTCCATTAAGTAGCTGTAGAAATATATTATTTCAAGAAAAGAATCCAAACACAAAATTATAAGGTGATTAAAGAGCTGTGTCTTTGGTAAGAAAACACGGTTTGATATAGTCAGAAGACTTGATACATGTGAATGTGAGAACTCATTCAGGAAAACAACAAGAATTTACAAAAAGGTAAACAATTGAAGAGCCTTGAGCACATATCACAAATCAGCCATGTAAATTATGTCATAAATCATAGCAGTTAAAGATGTCCCAAAGATAATGACACTCTGTCACTTATCCCTGTCGTTCACTCATGTGTTCTCCAGCATGCACCCAGGCCGAATCACTCGTTTGCAACACGGGCGGTGTGTGCCTGGCTCAGTCACAAGCAGAGTAAAACTGAGCAGCTGGGGGTGGGGGGAGTTGTGCTGATCCAAAGGGCCTATTTTCAAATAATGAAACTATTCATATATTTTTGAGAAAGAAATTACGTACTGTGTCAAATATAGGGAAGCTAGGGCTGACACATAAAATTTCCTGCAAATAGCAAGCATTCATTCAAATAAAAAAGTCAATAATTCTGAATTTTAATCTTTTCCACTTAAATTTTACTTGAGGACTCATTTTTTTTTCTAAACAACTACAGCAATTAGGAAGTCACAAATATTGAAGCTCAGCCGTCACTCTAAGGAAACTTTTATGATTTTTTAAATTAAAAAGTACATGAAAGTGAAAAATTATTCTGATATTTTGTGAGAGATCTCAATTACCAGTTCCACCCTACATGATTACTAAATCATCAAAAATGATGAGAGGCTTTAAAAATACTTCAAATGCAGGGCCTTGTCTACTCAATATATAGTTCATCTTTCCAGCCTCATTAGGAAATGTAGGCAAAGCTGAAGAATTAACTCCAAAAGATTGTTTTCTTATTTTAAAAAGCTTGTTAATTCTTCAAAACTGTGCACCTTTCATTTATGCACCTGTGTAAATTGAGGATTCCAGCAGAATTCCAAAACGTGCAAACACACACACACACGTGTATGTGTTTTGAACAGCTGACTCCTCTAAACAACTTACAGGTGTGTATCATTAAAAAAATTTCAAATAGTTAATTGTTCAGTGCCTTCTATTTGCTATTCTCAATGCTATGCAGTGCCTAGCATTGCAGTCTGGTTGGAAGAGAAGGTATTCACACATGAAACCATTAGAGGACAATACCAGACAATAAATAATTGTCCACTATATTGTAAATATATGGATCTGTGTAGGGAAGAGGAGAGGGAACAGTACCGAGCTGATGGATGGAAAGAGGGCCTTCAACAAGGTTCATACAATAGTGGTTCCCAAACTCATGACCTATGACCAGAGCCAGTTCCTGGCCCACTTTTCATCCAGCCCCAGGGAACTGAAAAAATATAAATCATAAAGCTAAATCTATTCCACTTAATAACATCTTTTTTAACATGATGACTATAGGTTTTTTCTTCTTTACTGAAGAACACAAGATAGAGAGGCTTGATGAGAGGCTTTAAAAATACTTCAAATGCAGGGCCTTGTCTACTCAATATATAGTTCATCTTTCCAGCCTCATTAGGAAATGTAGGCAAAGCTGAAGAATTAACTCCAAAAGATTGTTTTCTTATTTTACAAAGCTTGTTTAATTCTTCAAAACTGTGCACCTTTCCTTTATGCACCTGTGTAAATTGAGGATTCCAGCAGAATTCCAAAACGTGCAAACACACACACACACGTGTATGTGTTTTGAACAGCTGACTCCTCAGCTGTTTTTATTTACGTCCTATCTGGCAAAAGTGAAAATTAACATCCTTATGTCAATTCCCACAAAACACAAAAATCTGAGACTCGGTGGTAGGTGACTTACGATTCACCTTCGTCTTGGAATCAGAGTATTCACCATCATGCATAAAACTGCCTGTTATTTCTGAGTCAGCTGGGGGCCAGCATCAGCACAGTCATGGTACCTTATCACCAGGAACAAACAGCCAGTCTCTGAGGGAAGGGGTACTCACCCCTCAAGCTGTAGGGAGACCAGAAAGTCCCCAGGACCGTAATGACAGTCATCCCTTCCTTGGGATGATGGACTGACTGCTCTTCATCACAGAAGAGTCAGCAGCTACTCAGTAATGGCCTTTACATTGAGCCTTTTGCTGAGCGACACTTTACAAAACCAGAAGTGGCTGAGTGACAAGTGAGTGGAAGCTTCTTTAAAGAGACCCTTCATTTCACAGGTTGTGGCATGAATCAAGAACTCTGCTGAAAGAACAGTAATTACTGACTCCTCACAGACTACTCTGAATCCCATTGTATGGGGACAATTAAAGCCATTGGACTAGAGACAGATGGCTCTACCAGCAGGGACATGACAGAGGTGTTGAGCAGTCACCCCATGGCTAACCATACCAGCTAACTGAAGTACAATAGCAGTCCCCATGGGAGTGACTTGACCCATGGGAGTATCCCCAGGAGGGTCTCATGTCAGCCGAGGACAGCCCTGCAGACTGTGAGTGAGGCAGTCCTGGGAGCTCACACAACTGTCCTCCCTAGCTCCAAGGGGAGGGAGGACTGCATAGGAGACAAAACTGGACCCAGCTTCACCCTAAGAGTGTAAGGGACACCAGAGAATGCAAACCAGGGGACTGTATTATCCTGTGTTTTGCCACTGACACCAAATGTGGTATTGATAACATTTAATGTTCTAAAATTTCATCTTGCATTTTATGGCAGCTGGTATCTAAGCTTCAGGATAATAGCTATAAAACCAAAGAAGTCAAATCCCTTAAGAATTCAGTTGTACAGGATGACCTAGAGTGCTTGAAAAGGTAACTCACTTTAAAAGGGAGAGAGGTTAAATGCTAAGCAAGTAGAGCTGGGACTGTAAACTGAGGCCTGGCTGCCCAAGGCTCAACCCACCTGCCGTGTTGTTCTATATAGGAAGGTTTGGAATAAACAGGAGCAGCTGGGGCTCCTGCATGAGGCAAGCCCCAGGTAGGAAGGAGAAGGCACAGAGAGTGACAAAGGTTGTGTTTGGGACCTCTGGAGTTAAACTGGACCATGTGTTGGAGATCCATCCTGGGGAACCCTGTATGCAGACCAAGGTGCGTACCTTTTGCTAATTGAATGTAGT